ATATATTTGTTCTTCTATCCTCATGAGGACTTTGAACTGACTTTCATTCATTTACTGGTTACTTCTATAGCTAGGCACTTTGATAAATGCATCGTCCAACCCCGGGTGTGCGTCCGTGTTTTCAGGTGAGCTTCAGTCACTATTTTTAACTACTTTTGATGCTTAGTCCCTCCATATCATTTCTAAATCTATCTAAAGGTTTTATCTACGTGTTCTCTGCTTTGGTTTGAAAAACTCGTGAAATTGTGACGTGCTCTATGTCTACGGGGCTCTGCATTTTTTTATGGCGTTATGGAAGTAATGTTGCACCTGCTTCCTAATTTTCAACTTTTAATGACCTCTGAATCTTGAATATGTGGTCCAATTTAAAAAAAAAATAATAAAGTCCTCACCAGGTAACAAAACCTGCACACACACACACACACACACACACACACACACACACACACACACACACACACGCGCGCAGTCTTGCTTCATCATTTTGTTTTCCACCTTTCCACTTTATTGTTTTCTCCCACCATCTGCCCTTGCTGTAAACTTGCTGCTGGGATGCTCATTGTTCTCCTTTGCCTTGTTTCATAGGTTTTGATTTTTATTATGGAAAAGTGCCCCCACCTCCAAACCAGCACAAACACCCCACTGCTCCTGTGCTTTATCGTACAGGAATAAAAGGAAAAGAAGAGAGCAGCTGACTGAAGTGGTCCTTGAGGGGTGACATTTTTGACTCAACTACCATAAAAACACAATAACAAGGACAAGTTGGCCTTAAAACATGACTTCAAATAGACTATTTATTTTGTTGTTTTCTTTAACATACTTTTCACTATCTCAGCAGCACCCATTACTTGAACACACTAAATGGACTGCTGAGTGAATAATTCTTCTCTTGGTGTTGCACACATTTTTTTTGATTTCCACTCAATTGGAACTAAATAGCCAAATAAAGCAGGATTGGAAATGTCAGTAATCATTCGACTGCGGATTGTAATTGTTATATTTTATGAACCTGGCTTTAACTTTAGCCATATTTAATGGTAAATGTCAGGAAATCATTTAACACAAGCTATATGACGATAATTGCATTCTTCCTATAAAAAGGAACCATAACACGGTCGTAATTAGGTGTTATGAAATCATTGTGATTGTAAGCTGCCTGTTTGCCTGTTTAATTAAGCCTTAAGGCTTCACCGTGCAAGTTGAGGAATATGCTTGCGAAGAGAAAACTTATTTGTTTTTCTGTTTTATGCAAACCTTCACATTTATGCTTCAATCTCATCTTATGCAAATCTGCCTTTTGTGTCTTCAACAACAATCAACAAAATATTGCTAAACATTACTTTTATTTGGAACATAGCTGTAAAATGGAAAAAAGATAGCTTCTTTACCACTTTAACTAGGAAAGGTGATTTCTGCTACTCATATTGATGGAGCTGAAACAACAGACAAAAGGGAATGTTATAGTCGTGATAAGAAAGTAGTAAAAACTGTATGGAGACAGCAGTGACTTACTTCTTAACATATGTGAAGAAAAACATAAACATCCTGACTTGATGGAAATATGAATAAACTAACAGAATGAATGTGCATTTCTGACATTGTTAAAACAAAGAATAACATTTACTCCTCAGAAAATAATCTTTGGTGACCATTCAGACTCACTGGAACAAGCTAAAAGAAAATTAAGATAGGCTGTGAAACGAGTGAAAACAGGCAAAAGCCAAACATCTCCAACCTGAGAGTTGAGTTTTGCAGCTTTGCTGACATCTGATATGAACTGAATTCATCTAAAAGAGCAGTTTTTCTRCATAACGTGTTAGCATTTCCAAAGGAAATTGTGTTACTGTAAAAACCAGAATTGTTAAAACCTTTCAAGTGTGTCTGAGGGAAAATAAGTAACTGCACTGAGCCACTGCCCCCAAACAAGTCAACAGAACATATAAACTGTGAAAAATTGTTTGCCACAAGTATTGATGCAGACATTAAAGCCACAAACTTGACAAAAAACACAAGCATGAAAAACAAAGTTATCAGCATAGAAAATATTACATTTTCAATATTGTTTTATTCAGGTTTACAGCACAAAACATTAAATATGACATTTGTTATATATTTAAAAGCAGAAAAACTCTGAAGTAATTTGAAAAAATACTGCAACTATTGAACAAAATTCCAACATGCAGTAACTTGACACGATACTAACTAAAAAGGCTGGTTCACCCCAAAGATCTGGTCCCCCGGCACAAACAGAGTAATGTTTTGTATGCTGTTAAATGCCAGGAGGACTGTGACCAGTTATGCATCAGGGAAACAAAGCTGCCACTGGTCAAAAGAATGGTTCAACACAGAAGACCAACATCATCAGGCCAGAACTCTGCATTTTTCACTCATCGACAGGCCATCAGTCACTCTTTCAGTGATGAATACGAACTCACCCTTGATAAGGAGGAAAGTTGGCTTGAGAGAGGAGTGAAGGAAGCATCCATCTGTAAATGGGGGAGGGTGGATCTCCATGTCCAATTATCCCCCTCTTACAATGCTGTATGTGAGTATGACTCAGCCCCCTGTGAACAATAGGTGATAATCAGGGTCCTAACAATAGTTAGGCTGATGGTCCTCTTGCATGTAACCTAACAGTTTGGATTGTCATTGCTAACTTGTCTGTCAACCACAGGAAGGTAAAAGGCTTACAATTTATCTGCAACTCCTCAGACTGAAYAAGTCTCTTAGAGAAGAGACAAAATTTTSTTTTAAACAAAGAACTTGTCCAGAAGACCTTCTGAATACTTTAGACTATCTAAAACTACTTTAAAATAAGCTAAATACTTGAAGAAAACTAAAACATGGAAAACAGAAAAAATGTGGCTTAAAGCAACTATTAGCAAACTATTAGCTAAAAGGTAATGGTACTAAGAGGCTTACTAGAAGCTAAATGTAGCAAAGGTTAGGTAAAAGTAGCATGAAGTCATCTACAAGTTAGATGTTGCAAAATTAAAGCTAAAAGTAGCAAAAGGCCCTTTATAAGTTAAAAGCATCAAATAGCTAGCTAAATGTAGTTCAAAGTCAAATATATGCATTAAATGTATAAAAATAAAAACTTGGCTAGACTCTACAAACATAAAACGGCCACCTAAAATCTAAAAGCAACAAAAGGCAATGTAATAGAACAAGAATGCTGAATACATTTCCAAAGTGAACAATGCCTTTGAATAAACTAGAAACCAAATTCTATTAAGAAAGGATTGGTTTAAAAAGGTAAATTCTTGGAAAAGTTTATAAAACCAAACAGCCACAGCAACTATCTTCTGAAATAAAACTATGCAGAAGTAGGCTAGGACTGGAAGAAAAAAAAAAGTTGAGTGAATTTAAATTCGGGCCATTTTGGAACCTGCCTCTGTCCGTGGTGCTGAAACACGCCAGCCTGCATGTGAACACTACTAACACTAACCGAAACTGGCGCAGATTTCACGCTTTGTGTGACTTGATTTTTCAGAACGGTGCGCGCGAGCTGGATTTGTCTCAAATGGTGCGCGTGGCTGAAGCAGGATTTGTGTTTATACACACACAGAACAGAGCTCTGACGGGGCTCCCAAATCCTGCCTGCGCTTTGGGTGTGAACAGAAAAATAAAATCCGCCAGCTGAAAATCAATGACAGGGTTAGAAAGAGAGAGGAGGGGGGAGGGAGGGAAAGGGGGCGGTGTCTGATGACAGAGGAGGGGGGAGGAGGAAGAGGAGGAGAAGGTCCTCTCGCTGCTCCCCCTCTTTTTCCCCCCTTCAGTCCTACCAGCAGTCCGGTGCTGCCGGAGTTTCATCTCCCTTCCTCTGGACTTTATTCTCTTTCTTTGAAGCTGAAACGGACCCCGACGAATRATCCCGGGTAGGTAAGGCACCGTTACTGGACTACCATTTGCCAAATAAATAATGCAATATTGAGGAGGAAAAAAATGATTAGCTCCCGTCGAGTTTGGTGTGATGGATAAAGGAGCTGAACCCGAGACAAAGCTCCGTGGGGGGCGACAGTTGTGTCGGCGCCGTTAATTGCTTTGCAAATGAGAAGCTGCTCGTTCTGTTGTGCCCCCATCTGCCGCGGTGACAACTCTCCTGTGTTTATAATCCGATTAGACAAAGGATAAGCACTTTGATCAAATTATCACTCCACTCCCTACAAACCCGGGTTAGTTTTGGTTTTAAAATTTTTCCATTCGAACCTTTTTTATGCGCCACAGTGTAAGATTTGTGTCTTTAAAAGTGCTGAATTTTACTTTTTTTCCCCTCTCGTCACAAACAAGACTTTGCAGCATATCATGCTCCTCTTCTACATGCGCTTTTCTTCTTAGACTCCCTCAATCCATCTGTTTCTTTTTTTAAACCTTCCTCTCCTGTCTGTGCTTTCAGAAGATGCTCTTCTTCCTGCTGCCTGCCTTGGCTCTCTTGCTGAGCAGAGAAGCGGCAGTCTCCGGCAACAGTCAGGAGAAATGGCCCGGCACCGTGGCTCAGTACAACAAGGACCGACCCTGGGACCGATTCAGAGATGTGAGTTGCATAGACAGAAGAAGCCCAACATCCAGTCGAAGGAACGGGTAGCATGAGTAGCTTCAGTGGGCATGTGTGGGTTTTGTTCATGTGTGTGTGAGAGAGGGTGAGCACACTACGCCCTTGATGCACACAGTGAGTGCTTGAGCACTTGCCAGCAGGCATAATCCACCTTGTAGAAACTCAGCAGGTTGGAGTCCTGGTTGAAAGCCAGGCCGACTCTTAGACAAACAGCATCACACTGCTGAGCARGGCGAAATAATTATCTTATCGGTCTGTTTGTCTGAGTTTTCCCCTCATTGAACTGCTTGATTTTACTCACCAGCGTTAATATTTTGGTATCCTTGTATCAACGATCTACTATAGAACAATTAACTTTACAAGATGAAAACAAAACAAATAAGCAAACAAAAAAAAGCCCACAAAAGTTCTAGCTTATTTTACACTATATTCTTGTCATCCGGTTAATTTATTTGCCATTATTTAACCAGGCAAATCCCATTGAGATTGCAGATCTCTTTTTCAAGGGAGGCCTGGGCCTGAAGGCAACCTATTGTACATGTTTTTGTGTTGTGGGGGAAACCGGAGTACCTGGAGAAAACCCACACAAGCACGAGGAGAACATGCAAACTCTGCACAGAAAGACCCCAGGTCTGAACCAGGGATCAAACCCAGGACCTTCTTGCTGTGAGGCCTTGGTGCTAACCACTGAMCCATCGTGCTTAKTGGCTAATCCCCACAAAAAACAAAACAGCTAGACATATATCCTATAGATGGATATGTTTTGTTTCAACTTTGGGAAGCTTTCTCTATTTAAATCTGAGCAGGATGGAGTTCCAAGCTTTAAACTGCAATCTAGCCTCACATCCATAATAATCTCACCCCAGTCATGCTAGAMAGTCATTAAGGGTCTTTGTTTCCTGGCTCACAAAAGAGACGTTTTGCTCACATGCATGAAGGTYTGAATTAGCGGGAAAGTGACAGGGTGTCGAGCTCAAAGATAGATTCAGCGAGAAAATTTGCTCATGCTAACGTCGACGTGCGACCGAAATAACTTCATTTTGTTCTCCCAGGAACTCCGAGAGCCTGTTCTTGACTCAAAATCCCAACAGAGCTGATTTTCTCAGGCATATCACAGCTGTCACYTGACCGGTCAGAACAGTGTTGTGGGTGTGTTTATGAGGAAAAGTGGGTGAATTGCAATGACGTCGTTTTACTGMGTTGTCAAGGAGCAGCTGGCCAAAGTTTTTAGAAAATACCGCCGTCTTTACAAATGTTCCTTCCAAACTTGTAAAGATAGCGGGGATCTTGTGGATGGATATAGCGGCCATTATTGTGCTCATTGGAGACAGTGGTGAGCGATGTTTGGACCAATAGAGACAGTACACCTCGGCCAAACGGTGTAGGGARGCATTCCCTCAAGTTTGCACCATTTGTCAGAAATACTGGGTTTCTCTTTGTGACAAATTTGCAGAGTTTGTTTCATTAAAATGTTTGGAAGTAATAAAGAAAGTCTGTACAGCCACAGAAGAGTGAAGACCCCAGCGGGAGGAAAAAAATCAATTCCAGCACTGTAGGAAGGGGGAGGAGCTTCCTAGAAGTTCTGCGCTGCAGTTTTCTTACTGAACATAAAATGTTCATGCAGTAAAGGACATGTCACAACTGAGCTATTGATGTAAAAGGCTTCCTCCGCCCACCCTCTCAAAGCATTTCAACACAAGACTCAGCCATCCCTTTTACACCTCAAGAATACTGTAAGTGAGGACTGAAGCTGATATTTTGGACAGTGTGAGATTGTTTTAGAGCGAGATGGGCACTACAGTAAAGCTTCCTTTATGTGTGTTCAACATCAAGAGCACGAGTTCCCCTCCATTCTGTTGATATTGCTTCTGTTGTATCAAGTCAGTTTAATATTGTGAGTTCCTAAGGTTTATTTTTATTGGAAAGTGCATGATCTCCACCTCCACTGCAGACTCCTCTGGGAGCCCTAAAAGGGTTATCCCTTAGGTTATCTTAAATAATTTACAAACCGAGAACAGATCTTAGCACTTAGAGATGTTTTTGCATGTCTTAAAGTCGTTGAAGAATTAGGGCAAAAATTCTGCTCTGTTTTGACTATTTTGAGTGAGTGAGTGAGTGAGTGAGTGAGTGAGTGAGTGAGTGAGTGAGTGAGTGAGTGAGTGAGTGAGT